AACGCCTTCTTCTTGAAGAAAGTCTGTAGCATGACGAAAAATATGGGATCATGCGTTTATAGGATATCAACAGATCGCTCAGCAGTCATATTGAAGGGGTGATGGGCTTCTACCTCCAAATGTTGCCGTTCTCTGTCCCAGTTCAAACGTTGAAGACAGTGGTCCGCAGTCAGAGGAAGCACTAACCGTGGACGGTATGAAAAATGTCCAAAGGTCTACCTTCTTCTCCAAAACATTGGTCAGCGATCTCACGCGTAGTTGCAAAATGGTCTCGTAGGGCTAGTTGTCTGAATCGCCAATCTTGACGCTCTGTGGTACGCCTCGGTGTACCTGTTGACCTTCTTCGTGTTCCTCTGCCTTCTTCCATCCACACACGACATACACGCATTACCGTCATTGCAGTGCAATTAACACGGCGGCCAATTTCGCGATATCACAAACCAACATCTCGATAGGCAATAATTCTACCTCTGTCAAAGTCGCTTACATGGTGATAATTTGGACGTGTTCGAACTCGAAGCGATTTTTTATGCTTAACACTAATAAATGAAAGGGCAAAAACTAAAAATGTCTATACTACTCAGCTCTCAGAAACTGCTTTCTTCGCAAAACCTAAGAGATAACGTTTTAACAAAGGTAAACAAAAACAAAGATAAAACGTTGACATTGTTACCACAGCATACTTTAAATATGGTCATTATGTTGCCAAAAAACAATTTGAAAAAATAATATTTTCTGGGTGTAACACTTCTAATTAGTTGACTTTAATCATAATCTCTTTTTTTTACCACTTTTCACAGAACCTGCTTTCCAACTAACAAATAATGCTATCCATCCGCTACGTATATTGAATGGCAGGTGGAAATCGTTTTTTTGACGGGTGATCAATATAAATTATATTTAAAAACAACTATACAATCATATACTTTTCCAATGTCTATTAGTTTTGTTCAATATTCGAACGCAAATTGTTTAAGCCAAATAAATTTGGTTAAACCAAAATAATGATGAATCAAAGCAAAAAACTTATGTTTATTTGTTTTTTCAAAAACCCTGCTCCTAATTGAAACAGTTTCTATTTGTCATTGTCCGTCAGAGCGGTCCGTAGGACCTTTGCTCTTGGTTGAAGTCTTGTAAGTCAGTAGGTCTGTCAGGTCTGGTTGCCCAGATACCAGACGAAGTCAGGGTTTAAATTCCATGTTTGACTGAAGCATTACAGATAGATATCACATCGAAGTGATTTATAATTTCAGTATTATTTAGTTTAGATATGGGCTACCATCATAAGGTGCTTCCGAATGACTTCTTAACTTCTTCTGACTCAATTGGTCTCCAAAACGTCATTTTTCATGTACGATCTGGCGCCAATAAGCCGGCACATAAACGGAATGGGCTATCGAAGTACCCGTTTTTATTGTTTCAAGTAATTACTGCAGTCTCAGTCGTGATATAGTTGGTGGTTTTATGCAAAGCTCCTCGGTGGTTTTTGTGTTCTGTCGTATCGCCTATTTATGTAGGATTAGTCTAATCATATTATCAAATTTCCCCGAAATAATTGTAAAGTCTGGTTTTATTGGTGCAAGTTGGTCAAGGGGTATTCAAAACACGAACGCATAAAATGGGTACACCAAGTTTTGACAACAAAGAATGAAAAAGCGTGTTTTTTCGGGATTCAATCGAAAGCGCAAGTACAAAATGAGACCACACGTAAAAAGATCTGACTAATATCAAAAATGTTATGACCGAAAAACGAGTCAAAATGCAGGTTTGGGCACTTGTTGGTAATGCGACGATAATTTCACGCAACTGCTTGAAATCCATAGGATTCATACTTCTAAATAACAACAACAAAATTGGAGTATGTTGGTCAAGTAGTTTTTTGAGAATTTCTAATTGCTTATCCAAAAACACTTGTTTTCCGGCCATCATTACTAGTTTATTCAGCAATATACAGGATTCGTTCAAAGAGCATTTAATAACAAAATACACATGTTTACCTTGCCGATATGAATCACAAACCATTCTGAAAGGTAAATGTTATTTTTATGCGAAAAACAAAGGTTACGTTTTTTCTTCTAAACAAATTCAAACATTCCGTATTTATGAGTAATTGAACAAATGCGCTACGATATTCGGAAGACATACATACGTCACTATACACATTTTTAAACAAAGCGGATGTATCTATCATCTTTTGTTGCGAATTACTCACAAATTCATAATGTTTGAATCTGCTTAGAAGGAAAATACGTAACCCATCCTTTTTGCATAAAAATAACATTTATCTTTTAGAATGGTTTGCGATTCGTATCCAGAAGGTAAACTAGTGTATTTTTCTATATAATGCCCTTTGAACTAACTCTGTGATATTGCTCAATAAAAATTCTGAGAAACTACTTGACCAATCTACTCCATTTTTGTAACTATTATCAACAAGTGCTAAAACTTCGGTCATATCTTTTTTGCTATTAGTGGGATCTTTTTAGGTGTGGTCTCATCTTGTAGGTCTCATAAATACCTAAAAATCTTATATGAAGAGTTCTTTTGTTCCTGTCAACACTTTTTATTGAATCCCAAAAACACGTTATCCCATTCTTTGTTATCGAATAAAAAGTTTCCCTCAAAAATTGGTGTATCCATTTTATGTGTCTATATTTTGAATACCCCATTGAACAACTTGCAGCAATCAAACCAGACTTTACAATTATTTCGCAAACCAGGGGTATTTTCGTCTAATATGATTAGACTAGATTCCATGATTTTCTAACGGTACTGATCCTATAATTGTTCAAATTCTAGCACCACATAACTTCAAAAATTAAGTCATGGATGTACTTGAAAAGGCTATCGTGATAGCCGAAACATCGTCAGTATACATTATTTCAAGCATACAGTGTGTCCAAGATAAGGATCAATACCAGCTTAGATTAACTTAGGAAAAGTTGCGTTCTTTGGGGCGTATTTACATGCCGTTGAGGAACCTAGAATTTGGCCAAATAATTTTTATTTTTTTTTATTTATTTTAAGATATATCAAAAAACTAATCGAACCTTTCCATTGACACTTTTTTCGATAAAAAGTACACCCTATAATCTAATAGCATTTTTGTTACGAATTCAACGTCGTATCACAAATATTAGTTTTTTCTGATTTTGATTTTTTTATTTTAAGTAGGCGTTGCCAACACACGTTTGACTTTACGTAAATACCTGTTACCGAGTATTGTTGTTATTATGTATTGTAAATATTGCTTTATTATAGTTAAAGGCGGTCATTTTAGCAATAAAGGAAAGTTCGAGATGCTGACATTTTGTGTCAGAAAAATACTTAAAATACTCATACTGCTGAAAAAACGAGCCTTTACAGGAAACTAAGAGAAGTGTTTCATAAGCAGTTGCTGAGGACTCTGAGATATCAACTAGGCAAATTCAGAAAAATGTAGGAGTAGCCAAATTTATGTTGCGTAAAAATAGATATCACACCTTCAGCATTTGCCAATGACCAGGGGATTTTAATTTCCCTTCAAAAATAATATAGTCCGACGAGGGTATGGTCACTAATACTGATATCTTTAAACACTCATTACTGGGCTCAAGAAAATCTGTGGGCTAAAAAGTATGTAGACATCAAGAACGTAGTGGGTTTAATATGTTGTGTGGAATTTTAGTGACCCAAATATTAGGGCTATTTATTTACCACCACTCATTAACTGCAGAACGGTACCTTGAATTGTTGCAACATGATATAAAACACTGAATAATTTACCTTTGACACAGATTAATAGCTGTTGGTTTCAACAAGACGTTGCTCCTGCACATATTTCGAGGCAAGTTCGAGGGTATCTTTCTGAGCGATTTCTCGAAAGGTTGGGGATTTTATTAGAAACCAGCATACTTTTGAAACTGAGCAGCAATTACGAGAATGTCAAATGGTAGCATTTAGTATGATTACACTGAAGATTTTACGTGATGAATTCTACTGTTAGAAGATATATTTATCTTTAGAAAATAATGGCACCTATTTGAACACGTATTGTGAGCAAAATAAGAATACATAATGTATTCGTTATTCTGAATTCTAGATTAAGCATCATCTGTTAAAACTTTACCCTATCATATCATTATGTAAGATCTAATATGCAGATAACAGTAGTTACATAATCACATGAAGCATTTGTTCGCAACACCTACTGAAATAAAATAAAAAACACATTTTTCTTTAAGAAAACAAAAGTACTCGAAAAGGATGCTAACAGATACATGGTGTACTATTTCGGGCCATATAAAAAAATGAAGTTTTTCAAAAACGAAACTTCGGGCACAAAATTTAAAAGCACCATCATGTAGTGCCTAAAAAGTGCCAATGAAAAGTTCTATTAGTTTTCTGATATTCCTTAAAGTCAGAAAAGATAAAAGCGACCTGGCAAAATTTTAGTTTTGTCCCAAATACCTCGGTAACACATGGAAATTTACAAGTTTCTCAACGGCAAGTAAATACGCCCTAAAAAACGGAGCTTTCTCCTGATTTAACCTAAGCTGTATTTCCTACAGGTATTGAGATGTCCATGCACAGGATCCTTATCTTGGACACTCTGTAGGTGCTTCCATTTAGCGACCAGAAGCATGGATGATGATTTCATATGTATGTCATTTAATGAGGAATTTAAATACTCCTAAGAAGTCAGTTTTGATTTACTCAGTGTTAGATCAGGCGCGTCTATTTCAATGTATGGAAAGAAATCATATAAAACGATATACTTTCACTTTTTAGAAAACTCTACCCTATTGACAATGGAATATCCCCAGACTTATGGCGGTGGCAAAAGCCACCACCGACACCGCACCGTTTGCCACCGTATCCTCCTTTTTAGGTAACAACCCGAGTCTGATAATAAATTCCGATATCGTTCTCAGAAAGATAAGAATATATAAGGGCGGCGGATGAGGAATTCAGCGCGGTAAAAGAACGATGAGGTAATGAAAACACTGATATGCTTTTAGCTGACTGCCTGGGGCCCGCTATGCACCTTTATGCAGATGTGCCCCGCAAAGGCGGTAATATATGAAAAGATATTGCCGCCGAGGTGCTAGAGGATGAAGGGTACGGAGTACGGATAGGACGATGGAGGAAACTTCTTTTTATACGAGGTGACAACCCAGGTAAGTCAATTATTCGGACAGGTAAGGATATCTGCGGATTGAGGAGCGTATGTTGAAAATGATGAGTGTATTTATCGAACTGAACCGCATAAGTTATAAAAAAAGTTGGCAAATGGAGAAAACTGAGTACAGACTTCCAGTTCCATACCACATTTCATTTTAACTCGGTTAAGTCAAGTGAAGATTGTTGTGGATTCAAGTATTCATCTGAATGAATTCTGAAACATTGAAGCATTCTTAGTACCGATATACTTGATTCAAACGAACGTATGAGCTCTGCAAATTAAGTGGTGAGAGTGGCATCGTAGCGTGCGATCTGGCAACACTGGAGGCGCCGAGCTCAGGGGTAAGATAGGGCAACATGTGATCCGCCTTCACTACAAGTTTGAACTCCCTCAAGTAATCATTTGTTTGTCCGTAGCAAGTATTTTCCGAAACAGTTTTCAAGCAACGGTGTGCTAATGTTAACCAATATCTCTCCAAAGTTACGACTGTTTTCAAAGTTTTACTCTACTGCCCTGTCGGTTCCCAAAGAATCAGTCGTCGAGCCGAGGAAGTTGCTGTTTCCCCCAAAATACAAAAAACCGAGACAAGTGTGGCTGGAAAATTTGGACACCATTGATGAGCAGAAGCTTGGTATCCTAGAGCTACACCCTTCCGTATTTGCGGCAAATCCAAGAATCGATGTTATACAAGCGAATGCAAGATGGCAAACCCTATACCGATATGTCAGCTATGCACATACAAAGTCTAGGTTTGAATGTAGAGGGGGTGGAAGAAAACCATGGCCACAGAAAGGTATTAAGGCCCGTATTCAGTCGTCCCGACAATTGTAGGGCGCGTTTATGGCCTCCTTGATTGTCATACTTCTTTCTCTCCTTCAAAAATTTCTAGATCACACTTGTCCCATGTCAGCGTCAGCGCTCTCCTATTGTGAAGATATGTCTTCCTTTTAAATTGTAGGAAATTTCAGGCTGATAAAACATGATATAACTCAAAAGCAAGCACAATTTGATGCAAATAGATGTTTGTGACGTAACCTCAAAATAGAGCACTGACATGGAAAAATAGAAAACTATGACAATCAAGGAGGCCATAAAGGCGCCCTACAATTGTAGGGACGACTGACGATACGGGCCTTTTTATTTAGTTATTGCAAGCAGACAAAGTATGACAACCACTGAGGACCACCTTATTTGATAAAGTGTCTTCTGAATAGCTTGGCATGATTTTCTCTGCATAATTTGTACAGATTTCTCCAAAAACTGCAGGTCGATAACATATTTCTAAATTTGTAATGACTAGTTGGTAACTGAAGTGTTTCAAGTACATTTATTCTTTTTTACTCCTCTGTCTCAGAAGGAGAGTTATTATGATATGAGTATTTTGCAGTATAGGTCTTATTGGTACTTACTTTTTTCTTACTCACATTGGACTGTTTGTGAATTTTGGAACCAATATCATTATTTAGGTAATTTGACTGCTTGAAAAAACAGGAAAATTTTACTGCTGACCTTTTTGACATGTCTCCCACTTTAAATGTTTTTTGAATAACAATAGACTGTAATTTATATTTTTATTCTAGGTTTGGGTAGAGCTAGGCATGGTTCAATTAGAAGTCCACTTTTTCGTGGAGGAGGTGTAATTCATGGTCCAAAGTCACCTACTCCTCATTTTTTCATGTTGCCTTTCTATACCAGAATTCTGGGTCTAACAAGTACTTTGTCTGTGAAGCTAGCTCAAGATGACTTACACATTGTAGATAATTTGGAAATACCTACAGATGAAAGTACCTATTTAGAAGAACTTGTTAAAACCAGGAATTGGGGGCCATCTGTGTCGTTTGTTGATACGTAAGTGCTTATTTCTGTTAGTGACACTGATTTTGTAGCTTCTAGTCTGCTATAATGTTTGAATACACTTATTAGATTCTTTGAATTGCCTTTAAACTTCACCAGTAGCAAATCTAGGATTTCTGTATTTTGAAGCATAAGTTTTATCTGCTATTGGTTCCCCATAAACCATGTTGGGGATCTCCTCAAGCTCTAGGGCCCAACACACAGTACACCATGTGCATGGCCTTCGATGCTCTTTACCACACCTCCAATACTTGAAAAAATTGTGAGCACTTCTCAGCACATTTTGGACAAGATTGTTGCTTGGTATCATATATATATTGGCCTTACATAATATTTAACTGTGGCATCTTAGAGTAAATTTGGCTTATAAATGATTTAAAGAACAAAATGTTAAAAAACTGCATGCACAGATTAAATTTAAAGGGAAAATCTGGAAAGTAAATTGAGAAAAAGTGCAACTTATAACAGACAATGAGCATGAAAACCACAATGAAACAAATGGAACCAACTCAGAAAAATCACTGAATATTAAGTAAACATGTTCATATCTTTCAGATCCTGATATGACAAAAAAAGCCTTTACAATAAAAGTACGGCTCGAAATGCCTTCAGCATTTTATCCATGATAGCAAATATGTTTACAAGTTTTTATCAAAATTCAGTAAATCTGGGTGTTGCATTCTATATATCATAGTATATTATCATTGTTTCTAACTCATTTTATCGGATATTTAATTGTTTCAGGGAGGATATCATGCCAAGAAACATTACAGCTGCTTCCGATGCTGTGAAGCATTTCAATCTGATGCCAGTATATGGTTTGAATGTGTACTCAATGTTGAAACATGATACACTTGTACTTACTAGGTCAGCTGTCGATACTATAGAAAGTAAGATACTAACTCATTTGCATAAAAGTGATACTACAGCTTGTTTGTCAAAATACAAAGTAGATCAGAAATAATAAATCATATATTTAGTATATAAGACTTGTTATTTCCTTATAGCCGACCGTCCTCGCGCGTCTGGAATGTATTGTGACGTCACATGACATAACTTCGGCTTCTGCAGTCCTTGCATATATAATAATAATAAATGGCCTTTATTTTACCTAGCGTGTTACATCAGCATCTTTTTAAACGCTCAGTCGAGGACTGGGCAATGAAAAAATTTTATAGACTCATTCAAGTGGTTCCACTCCACGGACATCTTTAGTAAACGGCGAAATATTTATTCGCTTTGGCGGGAAACCATGGCATTTATCCTTAGCGCTCAAGCTGACCACTCGCAATATCTTATTTTTATCTTGGCATAGGCTGCTGTGCGATATTGTCGTCGTGACTGGGACCCGGCCAGTGGGGATAAGTAGCTTGGTGCTCGGAAATTTAGTCGCCATGGAGCGTTCCACTGGTGAGCAGCGTGCGTTCTGGGTTAAGGCTTATTACAAAAATGGAGATACGTGCACTATTACGCGGCGTCTGTTTCGCTCTGAGCCTAGTTTACATGATCTAAATAAATGTCCTAGTGAAAGTGTGATCAGGTCATGGGTCAGATTGTTCGGGTCTACCGGTTCGACACTGAATCAGAAACTTGCGGGGGGGCGTCCAAGGTCAGTACGGCGCGATCCACAGTTATCATCCCGAAAGAGGTCAGCTGAGCTCGCCATATCAAGAACATCTATAAGGCGTATTTTGTTGAAATACCTTAAATTGCAGCCATATAAACTTCAACTACTGCAGGAATTTTAACCGCAGAACCACCATCTACGCCGTGCGTTTGCCGAAACTATGTTTCCAAGTTTGAACAATATCCTCTCTTCTGTTGAAGCTCATTTTCATTAGAGTGGATTTGTCAACAAACGAATTACCGGTTTTGGGCCGCAGCACCCTATTTCTTCGAAAACGAGCAAGGCCAGACTGCAACAGTAAATTCTAATCGCTGTATAGCAATGCTACGTAACATTTTCTTTCCAAAACTGCATAATTTTGAAGCCTACCATAGCAGGACGTGGTTTCAACAAGGTGGCGCGACATTCATACCGCCAGCGAGTCTTTAGCAGTTGGAAATGAAATGGATTCTTTTGTCTAGGGATACCTCAAGAGCCGCGTTTACGCCAATAAACCGAGGACGATTGCCCAAATCAAGCACATTTCCGAGGAGGTGTTAGCTATCCCACAACTGATGTGCCAGCGAGTTTTCACGAATTTGAAATCGAGATTCGAGGAGTGCATACGTGTGGGTTAGCTGGGTGTGAAAGTCTTGTGCATACCTATGGTCGGAAGGAGAGAGCACCGAAAGGAATTTGTGCGCTAATCTTTATATGAAAAAGTTTCAGATAATTCCCAGTATGGCGCACATAACGTTCAGAAAAGTATCACACAAGGGCAGCTTCTATTCCAGACGTACATATCCTTCCTCCCCGCTCTTTTTTATTTTCCTAACCAAGAATCCTGTGTATCACCACTATCCCCCCCCTCCCTCGCTAGCCTCCCCGAGACAGATTTCTAAATCCTCCCTTGATTTCACAATTCGGTTTATTTATTGAAAAAAAAATTTAATTCGTATACTTTATTCTCATATTTACATAACAAGGTTTTACTTTAGACTCGAGATGGTGTTTTGTAAGAACCCAGCTTTTTCGGTAGTTTAAGACAGATGGGAGAGAGTCGATTGAGAATGAACCTCGAAGCAGAAGGTCTTCATCTCGAAGAACCGATTAAAATATCGATAGAATCCGGGGCCTTGTGCGTTCAGATCGTCGGTTGAGAGTCAGGATGATCGGGAAAAAAATAAATTCCACAGTTCATCAGATCAAGAACAACTGGGTGTTGCATCACGATAATGCTCCTTGTCACACAGCAATGTCAATAAACGAGTTTTTGGCCAGTAAAAACATTCCTGTGGTTCTTCAGCCTCCTCATTCGCCTGACTTGAGTTTTATTTTCCCGCAGTTGAAAATTTGGGACAGTCGAAAACATCCAAACGGCTGTAACCGACCAGCTGAAGGCTATTCCAGACTTGGAGTTCCAACCACTGCTCTGAGGAGTGGCAGATCCATCTTCAGCGCTGTGCGGCTTAAGAAGGAAGTTACTTTGAGGGTGACAATATAAAATTATAATTATATTTGAATGTAGAAAAAATTTAAAAATATCACTTAATTTACAGACCTCATATTATATTGCCACCAAGGTGCTTCCGGATGAAGAAATTTCAGTTGTAGCACACTATCATAAATAATTATCTTTTTATCTAAAATAGGTAACAGATATCACTTTTGATATTCATGTCCAGGCAAGAAGGTATTTGTAGTCGCGATTTGGAGCTTGGTACCCGGCTTTCTGCGCTATATTCATTTACCAGTTCATCGTTTAGTGTTACGACGTTAAAAATGTTACTAATTAAAGGTATTTTTGGGTACTTCTTTCCAAAGAAACAAAACATTAGATACGAAAATGTCAACATCTAAAAAGATAATTGTACGGTCAGTGTAAAATTAGTTTGAAACCTTATCTACCGTGGAACGCATAGAAAATCGCAAACATGCATTTATTTTTCTGCTCCCTGCCTTCTTCAACCCTATCCTCTTATTCTGGAAGGCAGCATTCGCTTTGGCCACTGCAGAAGGACTCCACTACCTTGACTAGTTTTTTTTCGTTTCGAAGTTCAAAAGAGAATTTAAAAGAATAGTATAAGCAGCTCTGTTTGAACGATTAAAGAGAAAGACGAACCTTGGATCTTACCATTTAAGAAAATATATTGGTATAATTGGTATAAGATCTTACATTCAAATGTCTAGGAATAATAATAAAATTACAACACTAATCAAAAACGGTTTCCACTATTAAAACACGCGAAATGTGCTTGCGCTTTACTACGGCGTGGTAGGTACTCAAGCTACGATTTACACTTGGTAATAATGGAATATCCGAGAATACAGAGCAAATGAGACCAGCGATTTACCTTAGTGGAGAAGTAAGGCTGAGAGCGTTTTCCTCTATTCTAAATCGGGGAGCCTAACAAGGTTTATGGGAAACAAGACGCCGTAGGGGTCCTCACTCTCCTATTTAACCTTTCACAGGTTTTTGTGCTAATACCCTCCGGTCTGATACAGAAATGCCATTGCGGCGGGCACATGCTCGAAGTCTATGCTAAGTTCAATGGGTCATTTTTTCAGCATGACTGGCCTGAATAACGTTAATTAATCTTTCCGCTAATTAGTAGAGTCGATGAAGCTGTGCTCAGCACTCAGCACTTCTGTGCGTTAATGTGGTGGAAATAAGGCTCGTGGTGATAGTTTCTTCCATATATGGGATAAAAGAGATTGATATAGTACAGGATGTTAACGGGTACCAGATTCGGCAAGAATACGTTCGACTTTGAGCATTCGAATAAGATGACAAGTACGTCTAGACGTCTCTACTAGAACCTGATTCCAAATCAATTTCGACCCTAAAAATTAATTTCAATGTAAGCTTATCATCATACATATGATCCGCTTCGCTATGATAATTTCGACTCTGTTCTGATAATTTCCATATTGGAGTCAGTTAGGGCCAGGTGGAAAAAATGAGCTTTGCTGATCATTTTTGGTACGCCACTGGTGAACGTTAGTTTGTTTACATAGTACTCTGTGGTTCAACCAAAAAGTTAACTATTAGTACGAAAAAATATGAAAGTGCATGTAGAAGTGCTAATAAGCAGGCAAGGCGAGTCCTGAATTAGTTTGTGCCCTTCTACTTTTTGAGATTAAGCAAATTTGAACTCAGTTTCTTTGGCGTAATCCTGGTTGGAGTTTGAACCCTATTCAACCACAGTATTTGACCTTTGACTGTACGGATGTGAGTAGTTTTGAAATTGTCGAATTAGATAAGCTCAAAAATTCCTGAAACCATGAGTAACTCAGGGGATCATCTTGTGACTGTGCCAGTGTGGCTGCAGTATTGGCAGATGCACCGAAGAAATTAGATGCTTGTTATAAGATCATAAAGAATCAGAACTCCAAAATTGAAGAACTCAGCTTAGACATAGCTGAGCTTAGTAATAAATTTGATGATGCCATCCTAAATCAAAGCAAGCACACCCTGTCACTTATAGCGATGCTGTCAAAGGTGAAAAGCCTAGGGAACATATTCTATTTGTAAAATCAGTTAAGGCTCATGACAGTGGAACACTGAAAGTGCAGCTGATGAATAAAATTGCACCTGAGCAGCTACAGGTCGGTGTTCAAATGAACCGAGCTTCTGACAAAGGCAGTGTTGTCCTTAAGTGTGACAATCTACGATCACTTGAAAAACTTAAAACCTCGATTGAAACCAGTATGGCCGATGATTGCACAGTATCTGTGCCAAAAAAGAAGAATCCTCGAATCAAAATAGTTGGTGTGCCTGCTACGAACATCGAGTCAGAAGTAGATTTATTTAGAAATAAATTAAAGGCCCAAAACAACATAGGTGCATTTTCAATATAGTTTACAAATATCCAGCTAGGAATGGCAAGATGGGTATTGTAGCAGAAACGGATCCTTCGACTTTTCATAGACTCTTGCATGTAAATAAAGTGAATATAGGTTGGAGCATGTGTAATGTTTTTGAACATCTTTCCATAATGCGATGTTTTAAATGCTGTGAATACAGTCATGTACAAAAAAGTTGTGTGAAAGATATTATTTGTCCTCTGTGTATGGGTAATCACGATAGGAAATCCCGTAAAAGTCCTAGACTTAAGTGTATCAATTGTGTAGTTTTTAATGAAAAAAAAACAAAAAAATATAGATACGAGTCATGCAGTTTGGGATAAAAAGTGTACCTCTTTAAAAAAGGTGGAAGATATAGTTCGTAACAAAACGAACTATTGTCAGTAGTTTTTTTTTCAGGGTTAAATTTAAATTTAGCAAAACAGTTTTTTATCGTCACTTTTAATCCCATACAAACTCTTTTTTGTACACACTTTCTAATCTTTCTTCTTATAACCTCTTACTACATTCTTTGTT